CCGGTACTCAATTTCCAAGGGAAAAAGAGCTCATCCTCATCATACGGGCACGACGACCCCCTCATCGCTTTTCTACAACTCCCGAGAACCCACCCCTGAATTTTCACGGCGATCGGTTCAGGCGTTTGTGAATTTTGCGAATTTCGGATTTTTCAATTTTTTCCGAGTTTTCGGATTTTCGTGGGTGGAGCACTCAAATAATTTTTTTAAGGTAGAAGGACTCATCGCATCGGAGAACTGACCCCCCTATAACCACCGCTGGATCGCCCAGAACACGCTCCTAAATTTTCACGACGATCGGTTCAGCCGTTTTCGAGTCTATAGGTGACACCAGACAGACAAACAGACAAACAGACAGACAAACAAACAGACATACGTTTTTATATATATAGATGATCAATCGAGCGGGCGTTATGACCGGGCACCCGCTTCGCGTGTATGTTGTCGTATTCCTGTTACTTTGACCTGGCTCCGACGTTTTGTTGAGTGGTTTCGCTGGTTGGGTTTGTTCCCTCGTTGTTCTTTGAGCTCTTAGTCGTCGCTGGACCAGAAGTTTGGCCGTTTTGAGTGGTCCCGTGACTCGTCTGTGCTTTTCTTTCGGCTTAAGGCGTCCGCTATGAAGTTTGTTTTGCCCCTGATGTATTCCACTTTTATCGGGTACTGTTGAAGAGCGAGCCGCATCCGTTGAAGTCTTTTGGGACAGGCATCGAGCGGCTTGTTGAAGATGGTTTCTAAGGGTTTGTGGTCCGTCTGTATGGTCACTTCCCTGGCGCCGTATAGATACTTGTCGAATTTCGAGCATGTGGTGAGGATGGCTAGACATTCTTTTTCGATCGTTGCGTATGCCCGCTCGGTACTCGTGAGCGTATGCGAGGTGAAAGCCACTGGTTTGTTGTCCTGTAACATTACTCCTCCTAAACCGAAGTCACTGGCGTCTGTTTGGATCGTGATGGCTTTCTCCTGATCGAAATATGTCAAAGTTGGTGCTCTAGTGAGTTGATCCTTGATCCTTTCCAAAGCTTTTTGTTGTTCGGACTGCCAGGCGAACGTGTACTTCTCGAATTGGGTCAACTTCCTGAGAGGCTCCGTCATGTCCGAAAGATTCGGCAGAAACTGTAGAAGGTAGTTCACGCATCCGAGGAAGGTTTGTATTCCTTTGACGTCGCCTGGGGGTTTCATTTCTTGAATCGCTCGTACTTTGTCCGGGTCTGCTTTGAGCCCCTCGCGGCTGATGATGTGGCCCAGGAACCTGACCTCGGATTGGCCAAGTCTCATCTTATCTCTGTTGAATTTGAGTCCGATTTCTCTTGCCCGTTGGAACAACGCCTCCAAGTTCTTTAAATGGTCTTCTCTCGCGTCGTCGATTGTCTTGCCCGATCCATATACTAATGTATCGTCGGCCACCACGATGACACCTTCGAGCCCTTCGTATGCTTGTACCTGTCGTTTTTGGTACTCCTCCGGTGCGCTCGCGATGCCCTGCGGGACGCGCCTGTATCGGAACCTGCCGATAGGTGACCAGAACGTGGTCAGGTCAGCGCTTCGTTCGTCGAGCTGCATTTGATAGAGTCCGTCCCGAGCATCGAGCACTGAAAAAATCTTGGCGTTCCTGAGTTTGTGCAAGGACTCGTTCAATGTTGGCATGGGGTACCTCGGGCGTTCGATGACCTTGTTCAGATGGTGGGGGTCGAGACATATTCGGAGTTTTCTCCCTTCCCGTTGTACGGGGACTATGTTGCTTTTTTTTTTTTTGAATTTCTTTATTAAAGCAATGAGTGTGCACTCGGACACACTCACTCAGGGTCGAGAAACCGGGAACTGGGAAAGGGCCGAGGCCGCCATCCCCGATTATTGCGTCCGGTTTCCCCTCCTCACTCTATCTATTTGCCCTACCGGCCGTTCGTCTTATCCTATCCGTTCCTTTCTCGCAGAGCTTTCCAAGTGCGCTCAGGATTTTCCCCGGCTTCTTTTGTTGATGGTTTCTTTCTTCCTCATAATATCATCCAGAATTCTCGTGTTTCGCTCCCATTCTGCC